GCGAGAATGAAGAAGAAGAAATCAGTCTGAAAATAAAGGCCTATAAATTGGTATGAAAGACATCAGTAAACAACCGATGCAACGACAGATTACTCCCTTGCATCAGCAGCTTATTTGTCAGCAGTTTTTTTTCGTTTTAGAAAAGTCGTTCTTACGTATAACATGCTCTTGCGTATCGAGTTAACCGGGAGACATAAACCCCATATGCTAGTGATAATGGTATATTGCATAATATATGGGGAAAATTGACGATAGAAAATCTGAAGTTATCACGTATATAACATTTAGTTGTTCGCGAAGAGTAAATAAAGAGGCTTGGTAAAACATTTAGTAGAACCAGCTATGTGTCTTCAGTTGTAAGGAATTTTATGAAGTTTTGGAATCCAGCATGGTACATGTAGTTTTAATCCATGACAATTTGGTTGTTTAGAATATTAAAAATATTTAAAACTGCCATATGCACAGTTTTTTTTTTTAGAATTGCATCCTGAGAAAAGTTCTCTGAAAAGAAGTTGGATGACCACTTGTAGAATGAAATCCAAGTTCCTCTAAAATGCATTTGTATTAGTGAGGCTTACAAACAAAGACTGTGCTGTTACCTGTATTGTCAGCTAGGATCAGTACATATAGATCATGCATGTGGTCTATCTCATTCCTAAGTCACTTCTGAATCACTGAGATAGATGATTTTTGAATTGCTTCTCAGCCGTTTAACAAGAAATTTCAACATCTTACTAATACTTTTAATCCATTCTGACAGAGTGTCAAGGTCTTCTTTTTTATAATAGTTGCATCGACTGGCATAATCTTTGACAGGATTCATCATAGTTTTGAAATTTTGTGAAAGTGAAAGGACAAGGTTCCCTTAAATTCGGCCCTTTTACAATAAGTGATTTAAGGTCCTATATCCGCATGGTGGGTACAAGACTGATCCTTTTTGTGATTAAAAATATCACTACTGTTTACGTCATCAGCTCATTTAATTTGTTGGCAAATTAAAAACGTACATTTATATGTGTATTTGATATTAAATGTTATATTGTATGTTAATCGATTTAATCAGTTAACTGACACAATTATGTAAAAAAAAAAAACATCATAAAACAAGCTCTATATTTTGACATGCAGTACTAACATGTGTTCTATGTGTAGTTTTTTTTAATCATTACAAAATGGTGAAGTGTTTAAAAAATCTCCTATAGAAAGCTGTTTTACCAGCTGTAAATACTGTATTCTGTTGCTTCAAAGAAAACTTATCAGTATTTTAAAGTAGGTATTCTGATAATTGATTGCTGAGTAGATAAAGAAGCAATTAGAGGGTGATATTTGTAGATTGTTTTATCCCTTTTCAGCCTGCAGTTTTATGGTAGTACAAAAATAGTTTAGATGTGTTAGAAAATTTCACTTAATTACTTTCACAAATCTTATCTATCAGACACAAAGATAATCATGATGAAAATATCTTATTTGATCTGTACTGTTTGACTCGAAAGGCGAGTTTTACGTATATGGTACAGAACTATATATAGGGTTATTGAACTTATATTGGAGAATTTTGGCACGAGTTGGCTGTACAAATACACGAGGATGCAAGTGCATTAAAGTTTTGTAAAGCCAACGAGTGCCAAAATTCAAGAATTTCAGTTAAATAATTTCTTTGTTTTAACATTTCCTATTGACTTATATTAATTATTTATTTCAATTAAATAAATTATTTATTTCAATTAAATAAATTAATTAAACTGTTAATTAAATTAATCAGAATTAATTAAATTAATGAGAATTTGTCAGTATTGGTATTGAAATTAAAACTGTGCAATATCAGCGTCTATCTTGTATCATTCTAGTGTTCACTATCACTTCATACCATTGACCCTACGAAACGTTATGGTTTGCTTTTGACTTTTTATTGAGGTTAATAGGTATAAATTATTAATAAATAGTTTCAATTTTGTGTGAAAATAGACACATTTTACCTAGCTGCCACCACCAATCAAAAATAATGCCGATGAGAGCGGTTGACGAGACGACATTTGTTTGTTTACAACAGGGTGTTCGATATTGAACTCTCGTGTTCGGAATGTTTCGAGGCATACTCGAAAACGTTACGCAAACTTGGCGTTTAATTAAACGCCAAGAATTTGAACGCAAAAACATTCTAGATTTTTTTTTATTATAGTTAAAGTATTTAGACTATTAATTGGCTATATAATTATTTTCAATTATTATACTGTTACTTGTTCATCGTGTTCATCATGTGTATACACATTTATTTTATTGAATATAGTTCAATTTTTAAGACTTAAGACGTGCACGATATCCGGAAATTGTATTTTAATCCATTCAATTCAATCCAAGGCCATCTGAAAGGGGGAGGGCTTAGGTGCGATCGCATCTCTCTAAGTACAAACACTATAAATACCATATTTCAAACAAAATAAATTCAATTTTTAAGACTTAAGACGTGCACGATATCCGGAAATTGTATTTTAATCCATTCAATTCAATCCAAGGCCATCTGAAAGGGGGAGGGCTTAGGTGAGATCGCATCTCTCTAAGTACAAACACTATAAATACCATATTTCAAACAAAATAAATTCATTGTTTATCTGTTAAAAATAATGTTGCTAGATTTTGTTTACTTAATATTAAAAAGAATGCACCCACAACCTATATAAAATTGTGCCCATTTATAAAACAAATTCAGGCTCAGAGGAGGGGGGATCTCTCCCAAACCTTCAGCAAAAATCTACTGATGTTTAAACAGCAGAGTCAGGGTGATGTTAAACATGAAGAAAATCAGCTTGGTTTTGTTGCATCCTTCAATCTTGGCAGAACATCTGAGGATTACGAATAAAGGTCAATGGAATTTGATTAAAAGGTTTTTCTCGTGGAAAGTAACATTGAAACTTATTTTGAAATTTATCCAAAATGTTGACAAAAAGTAGCAGCTTTGATTTGCTTTGTATCTAAGGCCTTCTTTGCAATGCATGCACTTAAAACATCAATTTTCAATCCACAAAGCTAAGTTTAGAGTGTCTAAATAATTTACAATTTTATAACCTTATATGATATCACCCACGTGGAGGCCGAGATGACTAATTCGGCCAGTAGGAATACAATCTGGAGTTATAAGAAGTACAATTTTAACCTTAGGGAAGATGGGTTTTTTTCTGAAAAGAAAATGTCATGTATGCATTTAGCTTAAGTACTTGGATGAAAACCTAATGCTTAAAAGGCTTTTTTTCCAAAAGGTACATATGGAATTTTATAACAATTTTGCGACAAATATATCTTTGAATTTTCATTAAGGATGAATAACAAAACTTTAAGAAAGTATTCTTCGACAAATATATCTTTGAATTTTCATTAAGGATAAATAACTGATCTTTAAGAAAGTCTTATCAATCAAAGAACATAATGCTCGACAAAAGGTGACCTTCTGCCCTTAAATAAAAATCATAATTATTTTGCACAATAACAGATAACATTCAATATATGAAAGGGGCGGGAGTAGAAAAAGGAAATGTTTATTTTTAATGTTTAATAAGTTAGTTTGTCGTAAATAAATCTTCCCCCTATGTAAATCATTCCCGGAAAAGATACTATATGGCTAATTTTCCCCCTTGAAGAAATATTTCATATTTAGTATTTATTTCGCCTAAATAACTTTTCAGCGAAGATTGTTTGGTTTATATTTTACTAATATATTATGTAATAAAGTAGGGTCTTTCAAAACGACAGTGATGCTAAAGGACCCTCACTACACTAAAGGAATTTTTTTTCTGACTGGGAAATTAAAGTATGTAAAATGTTAATATTGAGCGTAGATAATACATTTTCAACACAAAGTACCTTGCATTTACTCCTAGGAAAAATATTCAAAGAGAATGAAGTACTGATGAACAGAAACCATTGTTGTTTACTTGTTTACTCACACACAAGTTAGATGTTACAGGGATTATAACAACCTCGTTTATAATCAGCATTTCGTAAATTCTATGGTCGCTATAATGACCTTGTTAGCAAATATAACCTATCACTTGATCGTATTTTGGCTGACTTGTTTCCTACCAATTGTTAGACCTTTGTTTTCTACTAAATTTGACTACGGAATGCTTCGTCTACTTGATCAATACATAGGGCTCACGGCGGGTTTGACCTGTTACATGTAACAGAGGATGCTTTTTCCTCCTAGGCACCTGATCCCTCCTCTGTTTTTATGAGATCGATCACTGTTCGTTTTTTTTCACCCTTTTTCATTAAGTGGGTAAAATACCTCCAAATGAAGTATTCAAACAATTCATCTTGACTTATAAAAATGTAATGAATACTTGATTTCACAATTTAAGTAATAAACTGTACATTTCAATTTATTTCATTCTAGATCAAAGGGCAAATTACACTATCTGCATATCAGAACTCTTTAGTGTGCATGTGCAGTGTAGAGAGGTCTCATAAATCAGGCTAAAATTATGTATGTAACTATATTTAGGAAAGATAAATGATATTGTATGAATGTGGGAATGTGTACTATGCAGAGAATTATTTCGCGGGAAAATATATACTATGAAATAAACCTTCCGAGTGAAGGGGAAGATAAAGATATCTAAATCTTCTAAATAGAATAAAGTTTTGCTAACTGTGATTGAAATAGAAATGGCTATTTAGAAAACATTTTTATTGTTCTTTTGTTTTGTTTAGTACGGAAGCCCGTTGAGGCCAATTCAGAGAAAGAAATATTTTTTATTGCGTTTAAACGCAATAATTATTGCGTTTAATCGCAAAACATTGCGTTTAATCGCAATGATTTTTGCGTTTAAACGCAATAATTTTTGCGTTTAAACGCAATACTTTTGCGATTAAACGCAATAAGTATTGCGATTAAACGCAATAAGTATTGCGTTTAAACGCAATAACTTTAATATTTAAACGCAATCAATAATGATTCTTATATTATTTGTTAAGTCGAAGCGTTTGATGCAAGACCAAACTTTCTATGTAGCAATGGACACACAGAAACTGATCTACTTTTATTTCTCAATTGGATTAACTTATCATGAAATAGTGTGTTGCTTAGCTTTACAGCATCATATTTTTCTGAGTGAACGTACATTGAAAAGAAGACTTGCTGCTATGAATTTGTACAGGAGAAAAAACATGTCTTCCATAATCAGTGTTTCTGACTTTCTCTCAACATTAATTGAAAAGGATGGTATGCAGAGTGGGTATCGATGGATGTTCCAACGATGTTTGCTAGCTGGATTCATAGTATCTAGAATGACAGTAGCAGGGCTTCTCTCTATTCTTGATCCAGAGGGGGTGGAATTGAGAAAACGGAAAAGACTTCGTCGCAGGGAGTATTATGCCAAAGGACCTAATTACTTGTGGCATGTCGATTCGTACGATAAATTAAAAAATTATGGGATTTGCATTAACGGTTGCATTGATGGCTACTCCAGGAAAATTATATGGTGTGAAGTAACTTTTTCAAGTAGCGATCCTCGTATAATAGCTGGACATTTTATAACATCTATAGAAAAACTTAGAGCATGTCCAAAAAAAGTAAGAGGGGATCGTGGAACAGAGAATAAGAATATTGCAGAGATGCAAAGTGTTCTTACGGACCAAGGTACGTTTATTTATGGACCAAGTACAGGTAACCAAAGAATAGAGGCATTTTGGCGACATTTGCGGATGGAATGCTGTCAATTTTGGATTGAGTTTTTTGGACACTTAAGAGACATTGGGAAATACACAGGTGACATCATAGATAAAAATCTTGTCCAGTTGGTTTTCATGGAATTTGTGCAGGTACATGTACTTAAGTTTACATTTGATAAAAGAGAGACTGAGCGCAAACAAAACATACTCCGTCCGTTTGTTTATCACGGTTTTGTTTTCTTGATAGCCACTGTCCTTTTTTAACCATTGTACTAACTAATCAGAGCTTCATTCAGCTATTAATTCGTATCATGTCATTTTATTAAATACATCCTTTTTCGGGGGGTGGGTGTAAAATTTTCATGATAAATAGATCGTGCGGACTTCAGTAAAGTTGTGGTTCATATTTACCTGTATACATGTATATGCAACTAAATTTATAACCAGAAGAAAATGTTATTTACTATCTTTTGTTGGCTCGGTACGTTGTATAAGTAAAGGAAGTTGGTTTTTTTTAATATCTTGAAAACCTTTGCAAATTCAATTTACTCATTCGACAGGAGGATTTATTAGTTTTGAAACTGAGAACTTACATCATCGAAATATAAATATATAAGGGAAATGCCTTGCATATTCCAAACTCTTTATCAAATTATCTTAATTTTGTATACTTTTTATTCACATCTAGAAAGATATAGATGAAGCAGTATCTGTCTGGAATACTCATCGGATTCGTCCAACTAGAAATGGAAACGTCCCAGCAGGCAAACCTTGTATTCTTTATTGTCTACCAGAATTAGAAGGTACTAGAGATTATTCGATACCACTAGATCAACATGTTCTCGAGGTCTGCAGAAACGAATGCTCATTTAACAAGAACACCCCATCTGACCCCGACATGCATGAATTTTTCAAAATCTTGATGGAAGAGAACTACATAGCGTCGCCTAACTGTCTGGAAGATGCCTGTAATTTGTATGTAACTCTTCGTAACCTGGCAAATCGTGAAATATATCATTTATAGACTTTTGCAAAGGCACCAAAACTTTACCGGTTGTTTCAATAAAGAATTATTTGCCTTATTTACAAAATGTTGTGTTATTTTCAATCAGTAAATAACGCTATTGACTCGGTATATGTATCAACAACAAAAATGCTGTAATTTGTCAATTGATTTTTATTTCACGAGTGAAAATAAAATCTGAAACAAATGAATGTATGTCAAATCCACTGTGCCGCAGTGGCAAAAAATATTAAGATTTTATTATCTATGAAGGGATGTAGTATCAGAAGCATTTTTTGACAAACAATTGCTTTTTACTATTTAAAAATGTTCATTGAAAGAGTGATCCCCACTGTTTTTGTTGCATCCTAGTCAAAGCATAATGTTGTGATAATGCATGAATAATAATTTGGTCATAAAAAAGGTGTGAACCCCCCTTCCCACCCTAATACACAGGAAATAGCTTTTTCCATATTCAGTATCTCCCTGTTTTAGATTAGAGGAAATTTTCTTCTCTGACAGCCCCCCCCCCCCCCCTTCACTTTCAAAAGTGTCCATATACATAATTCTATATGTAACAACCCAATAACTTTGTTTCAAGAAAATAACAAATCCTTTGGACAGTAAACTTGAGTAACGTATGAACTTTCAATGTTTCTCTATTAGCATGTTGTGCAACAGGCATAAATTTTTGTGCCAATAACCTTTGGTAAGGCTATGACATTCCCACAGCTCCCGAGAATTTTTTTCTGTTTAAATATTTGGACAAAAGCAATCTTTGAGTCAGTTAGGAGCTTCTAACGTACCCCATTTATATTTTAAAGTTATACTCAGGACACGATTGTACGGAGAGCCGATCAATCTAATAAAATGATCCCCATTTCCGGCTCCCATGAACTAAGTTTGCGGGGGGTGCATAATAATAAACAGCTAAATACAGATACCAGCAGAAAGAGGACCCAATAATATCAAACACTGAAAATTCAATTTTTGTTGTTGGATATGGTCTTTACCTCGATCAGGGGTGAGGGGGGATTTTAAAGGATATTTTACGAGTATCAAGCACATAGCGCATTTGATACGTCTTTTAATGAACATAAGACTACTATGTCCTCATGAAATTTCTATATCCTTCATTACAATAATCATAATCATCCTAAAAAGACAAAATGTGCATTGGGGGTAAGAGCAGCCTGAGACTGCTACCGGGAGACAATATGAACATGTATATATGTATGTTACAAATGACGCACAACTTACGTATACTTGTATTAAAAAATAACAATATAATTAAGAGACACTTAGAACTGCAGGCACTTACTATCATGGTGGGCTCCCCCCCCCCCCCCCCACCGACCTATTCCCAAACAAAACATTTTTTTTCTACAGAAAATGTTCATTAAAGGGTTGGTCCCTCTCCAATTTATGTTGTAGCGTAGTAAAATCATGGTAATTTGATAATGTATTAAAAACTGAGTTGTGAAAGAAAGTTGGAACCTACCCCCCCACCCCCCCCCACCCACCCACCCACACACACACTACATAGGTTTTCGAGTTTGGAGACATTTTTCATTTGTTTGCCCGTCAAAGTTTTCTTTTCAGGTTTATTGTCATTTTTTCCTAGCTGACACCAATCTTCAAAAACTATACTATGTTTGACAACTTTAATTTAAATTAAGCATTAGAATTTATTAACAGGGGTTTCCCTTTTGTTTTGTGTATAAGCGTTGTGGATTTTCTATTACAAGTAATCTTTAAAGAGAAAAGTTTTTTTGTTCCACGACAAATGTTCCAATGCAGGCGCGGAAAAGGGTATTCCCTTTTGGTTGAGGGTTAGGAATTCATATCTACTCAAAACATCCAACTCAGAATTTTTTGACAGGCAAAAAGGATTTAAAATGTCCAAACTAAAAAAAAAAAACTATTGGGGGGGGGGGGGGGGGAGTAGCTTTGCTTTATCATACATTTAACTCTCCTTACCATTTCCACCAGGAGCCATGTTTTCCAAGGAGGGTCGCAAACTCGTTTTTCGTACTTTTACTTTGTAAATTAAATAACTCTTAAAATCAAAGGGGGAACTGTCAGGACCCCCTTCCCCTGAATGAATCTTCAGTGTGCAGCTACATGTACATGATGGCTAAGCGCTGTACATAATCGGAATAGAGCAAATGGTTTTGTGAGCAGTAAAAATACCACACCTGTAAGTCTAGAAGTATTAAATTTCGGGAGAAGGGCAGTACCCTGGCCTCCATCATACTTTTTTGGCAGAGGATTAGTAAAACATCTGTAGAAGGGTCATTTCGTTAAAGATTAAAAATTACACTGTTGAAATGCAAAGAACTAACAGAGTCTACATGCGTCAGAATGTACACACTAGAATGTGTAGGGTAGACTCGCATTCATTCAAACACATTTCCTTCATTTTCTATTTGTTAGATTACATACAGTCCTTTCATAATCTAATTATGTAGCGTCATAATTGGTATGGGTAAAACTAATAAATACCAATTAATGCATGAAAACGAAGATCGACAGACAAGAAATACAGTTACAATTTTTATATTTCTTTAATGAACACCAAATTTACGGTAGAGGTAAAGCTTAAAACAGATAACTTTTATTTTTGGCAAATAAAGATGAACCAATAGAGAGAAAAACATATGTTTAAAATTCTAAATTGTTAACAAACAATGGCCACAACACTGTACTTCGGCAACTGATACGACTTTTTCCCCACAGACTATTTGTCTACTCATTATAACATGCATTAAGATTCAAATATTCAGAATTTCTTACATTATCTATATGTTTGAATTTAACTTAAAAAAAAGGTAGAATGGGGAGGTCAACAGTATCAAAATCTGTCATTTAAAAAAAAAATCGATGTTCAAGACTCATTTACATTATTTCTCAGATAAGGTATAGCACATTTACACAATATCCATTCTCAGTACTTTTGTGTCTAGCACGTTTTCCAAGTGCTCCCTCAATAACAGAAAGTTGTCGTAACTTCTGGACAGCTCCAACACACAGCCACATGTGTGGGCCACTGGACAAAGTGTAAATTCAGGCATAGGGGGTGTAAATCGAACAGTAATTTTCTTTCCAATTATAATGTCCGATCCAGTGCAGAATCGTAAAAGCAAGGTCAGTTTCTCAGTTGAACACGTCTTGATGTACCGCTTAAGAGAATCGGCCGTTGCTTTCTCGGCTTTTGTCAGATCTTCTGGAAAAACAAACAAATTCAGGACTTTTTTGTTGGTAACTTTGCTTTGCTCATATATTTCTTCCAGTCTACCTATCAGAGGCTTCAAATGACTACTAAATATAGGAAACCAACAAAGTGTGACAAAAGACGGTTTTTGAATTAGTTCATGATGAGCCAACTCAATCAAAAGCTTTCTAAAATTTTCCTTAGTAGGATAGACTCTCAGATTAAAATTCGATAAAGCATCGAGAAGTTCATTTTCCTCCACACCATTAAAATCATCAAGAGCATCTTTAATAAGTCCTCTGTCCATATCAGGCAAAAATGCCATGAATGACTCAAGTAGCTCCTCATTTGTTGGGGTAATATCAAAAATACATTTTTTCAGAAAGATTTGTGAAAGCTGTATTGGAAAATACTTTTCTTGCTTGAAGGACAACACTAGAACTTTGGCTACGGCTTCCCATTCCTCCTGCTTCATGATGTGCACTGTAGTAGGAATTTTAACATCACTTCCTTCAGTGTGTTTTAAATAAAAAGTATCCCAAAATTCCGACATGGCATCCCGAAAAACACCCCCGGAATCCTCCCCCTTCTCTGTCAATATTGAAAGTTGTAGTGTGTCAGTTCTTAAGTTGAACTCTTGCTTTACAAAAAACTTCATGACGTCAGAGAAAGCATTACCCCTCTTTATAACAAGATTTTTGACAACTGCACTTGCTGGTAATGTTTCATCGAGGTCGTTTCTTAATAACTGCGAGGGCCCAAATTCTATCTCTGGGTCGTTAATATAGTTTTGAAAATCCAGTAATATACTCCCAGCAGGAACATTCTCAAAAGTGACAATCTCTCCAGGAAGCACGTTTACGGGTGACTGTGCAGACTTTAATGTAGCAGGTGGAAAATCCCCTTCAGAGATGTGATCTGGAATGTTTAAATGACTTGCATCATCTGGGGAACTAGCTGTTCCGGGTGCCCTTTCTTTTTCAATATGGACAAGAGAAAGCATTGGATCTGGAAGATCCTCGCCAGATGAATATCTGTCATTTATTGTGGATTCGCCATCATGATGTTTCTTTGATGTTATAAGATAGAGACGAAGAGTTGACATTTTAGATGCTATATATAAATCATTAATAGATTTATCTGCAATATCTTCTTGAGAAAAATCAACTACTGAAAAATGAAAATCTTCCTTTTTCCCCACAGATGATTTTCCCTGGGGAAAGAACAGAGGCTTGACTTCTTCCAAAATTTCGTCTTTCTTATAGAATTTTGGGAGGTCCAGCTTTCTTGTCCCACCACCTCTGGGAGTTCTCACTTGCTTTCCCCCATGAATCCAGCCAACTTCCACTTTTCGCATGTTTTTATTTGCACTCTTATTCCCAGCTCTAGCCATATGAGTCTTCCGTTTCTTTGCCTTTGAAGTAGATGGGCCTTCATCACTGGAACTGCTACTCAGAGATTCTTTTCCTCGTACACCCATTTTTGACGCAGCGTTTGAAGAATGGATGATTTTGGTTTTTTCTTTTTGTTCTTCATTTGTTCCAAAAATATCCTTAAATTGACGCGATCTCCTACTTTGGGTAAAAACTCTGTGATGTCTTTTTCGCTCATTTTTTGAAGGACGGAAAGAGTCACCTACAAAGCAAAATTATTTTATTGTATTTATTAATGTTTGACTAGAATAATAACAAGTATATGAGACTATAACTTGCAAAGAACATGGGAATGTTCTCATACAATTATTGCCCGGTTGCTTATCTCGGATTTAAACCTTTGATCAATGATTTAGGAAAGTTGAATTTTCTCTCTTTCTCTGGTAGCCCCCCCCCCTTTCAA